TGCTGCTTGGATCAGATATAGGTCGTGACGAAGATGCCAAAAATATATTTTTATTGATCGGCGAAAATACAAGTGTAAATACACGTTGTCCTGCTGCTGTTAGTCTGGTCCACATGGGTGTGACTTCCCTGATTATCCAATGTTCTTGTATGATTCCATATTGGAAAGTTTTAGGAGAGGAAGAGGATCATGAACTCGTCGGGCCCTTTTCCCGGGGATATGCAGTTCTGCTAATAATCTTGTTGGCGAAACCTTCTTTCTATTAGAAACCCGATCGAGGAAAGAATGCCCGGCGGCCCCGTGGTGGCCGTGGATCCTCGAGCGAGGTCCAGAGCTACTGAATGCCTTAGCAGGCTGCCTGCGTACAGATTAGCAACAAGAAAGGAAAGGAAATGATAAAAGGAAGCTGCGTTCCGGGGAGTAAGCCCCGCGACAGTCGTCCTCCTCGTCCAGCCAGGCCTGGCCGAGGATGTGATTGTCCTTACCCTTTGTCCTCATTTGAGGGCAGCGCCGGGTGAGGGATCTCCTCCTGTCGCTCGTAGCTAGATGCTTTGGCCCTGCATCTGTCACGAGGTTTTACACTCTTGGAGGAGCAGGGTCAAAATTGCGTCTCGGGCGATGTACTCGCCATTATCTGTACAAAGCGTCTGTGCCCTGCGTCGCTCGATGTATTAGCCTGAGCTCGAGCGGGCCGCGCAAGGGGAGCGATTTGGTCGCTGTGGCAATCGCCATTGGGAACACATCAGTGGTCCGGCCTGAGAGCGACGCTGGGCCAGATCGTGTTCCTTTTAGCTTTGGCCCGACATCGTCGGTATAATTTTGGCTGATACACCTGTACTCATAAATGTATGTTTTATTTGAAATGGGTTGAATGAAAAGAAGGGATTACCAATACGTTAATGTGATGTCGAGGTGGAATCTCGACGTCCTTTTTTTTCGAGTGAGAGGGTGTCCTTGGGGAGTATTTCCCAGGACCATACCTTTCTGGTGATGGGCACTTGCATTCCACGTTCTACGAATCTTCGCGGGATGCCATCATCCTTTAACAGTTGTGATGATATGTCATAGCTTGCCGACTCTGTTTTGTCCGATTTCCTCTCGTCCGTGGAGCTAGATATGGATTTGCTTGCTTGGCGATGCTTTATGGTTACCTTTGTTGAATGACGTAGTTGCTGCTCTTTTGGGTTTGTAAATCCGAGCATTTTGTGATTCTTGTGGTGGGCCACGGTTTCCTTGGAGGGGTTTTGGTTGAATGGATCCGAGCCACCCGGAGTTCCCGGCTTCACTTATGGTGACCACTATGCTTGGAACTGTAACGCGGAAGTCGAGCTTCATCGGGCGAGGTTTCCTTGCCGGTTGCGTCTAGTTGAATTTGGTACCATTGGAGGTTCCTCGAAGGAGTTGTCCTCGGGCTACTGTCTCATTGTTGCGAGATGCGATGTGCCTCGAATCGTTTCTTCCGTTCGTGTCATGTGGATGATGGCTCCTTTCATTCAATGTCAGACTTTCTGTTGGGAATCTGCCCAGATATGCCGACCTCGAGGAGGTCTTTTGAGGGTCGTCCACGGCTCTGACTGGGGTCTGGTGCTGGCTGCTGGTATCTGACCAAAGACCGGATATTCGATCAAGCTTTGCTTGAGCTGCTCCGGAGCCGTCGGGTATGCTTTGTTTGGGTTTTGGGCGAAGGTCCGTGCCACCCCACTATTCGGGACTGGGAGCGGTCTCGTTTGTCTTGTCGGAGAGCGAGGTGTGGCTGGGATTGGCGTGCTTGAGTGGTGGTGCACCTGTGAGGACTTAGGGTCCTATCACTCCCAGGGAATTTCGTTGTTTCTAACTTCCACGAAATGAGTCCCGGGATAGTATCTCCGGGAGATGGTTGCTGTAGGAGTCTCTACGAGCGTGAGTTGATCTTTACGATAATATCTTCCAACATCCTTACTGCCACAGGATAGGTTGTTGGTTCGTCGTTGCCCGATATCTCGGGTACTGGCTCAAAGTGAGGAGATATTTTGGGTGTTGCTGCACCGAGAGTCTCCGAAAGGCTTTTTAGCTGAGAGATAGCCAAATGCTGTTCCTACAATATTTCAAAAATAATACGAAGATTAACTTCACATTCTACCGGGGCTGCGATTTTTTGGGCTTCCTATTGGTTAGCGCGTTGTGTGCCGCCATCGATGCGCGAGACTTCGTAACCCCGCTGTGCATCATACGGATGCGCGTTCGCTCGAACCAATCTGGGTGCGTTATCAAGGTCCTGCGGTGTCGCGCCAGTCATTAGAACGGCCATGCTGTCCTCTTTGCGATTTTTGGGGTTGTCCTCCTCGATTTCCCTTATCGAGCTTATTATTAATCTGAAATCGAAAGATCTTGGGCAAGAAAAAGTGTGAAAGATATCGTGCGTTTAAGTGACGAAACTAACAAGAGAATAATCACTATTATTTTTAGCCCCATAGTGGGGGTCAATTCAAACTCCAAGTTATACATCTTTTGCAACTCTGCTTTTAGCTCATCGACACTTTTTCCGAGCCGAGGCATATCTCCAACTTCACCTCACTCGAACCTCTCAAGACACACTTCAAACTGCTTTAGGTGATCTTCATAAGATTTATGTTGTTGAAGAATGGTCAATGAGGCTTGGACGGGGACCAATGCTTGCCGGATGAGATTTGGGATTTCTTTTGTCAGTTGGTCTACCTTAGCATTGGCGTGTTGAGCTAGTAAACCCAGCTTTGAGAGAGTTGATAAGGAGACATGTAGCGGTGTAGTGATTGGTTTAGGAATGGCTACGGAGGTAGCTGGGGCAGGAGAGGTGTCAGGCAGTGCGGGGGCAGCAGGTGATGCTGAGTTTGATAGATGAAGGAGTAAAGTGTCTGGTTGATTGTCCGTTTCCTTGTCTACTGCATCATTGATCCGAGTGATGTCAATATTGATAATGTTTGGGATAGGAGGCACACCCACAACTTTACATAGAGTACTGATCAAGCATGGGAAGGGAAATGATGTTTGTTTTTTGTTTGCACTGATCCCCAGCTCCCTTAATATAATATGTCCCACATCAACCTTTATGCCCGTCATGATGCATGCAATGAGGAGTGCCTTTCCAATGTTTATGTCAGTTTCATTCCTAGTCGGCATCAGACGGGAGCAAACAAAACTGAGCCAATACCGACCCTCCTGTGTGAGATCCTGCTTGTAAATCTTTTGGCTTGGGTCAATCCAGGAGGGTGTCCCCTTTTCTATGATAGATGCAATCCAAGCACGCTCGTTATCCTTCTTGGCTACTTTGGCATCATACTCAGTCGTGCCTGATGACCAATCCTCAAAGTATAGGTAATTAATGGTGGCATCATCACAGAGTACTTGGACCCCTCAAATTTGGACAGATTGCGCAAATATCCTGTTTCTCTTTTGCTCAGCATTCCTTGAGGTACCATAAAAAGCATAAAACTCCCGCACAAGTGTCTCATTATACTCATCTGGGACGTCAGTAAAGAACTCCCATTGCCTCTTCTTAATATTCTCGATCACGTAAGGGTAGTGCTCATTCAGACCGTTTAGACTCAACTGCTTCTCCTCAAGAATCTTTCTCTTTGTGATCCCTTATTTGTACAGGTTCCAGGAGCCTATCCCAAATCTTAGATTTGGATCTTCCCCAGTCTTCCATCATGGTTCAGCCTGTAGGTCAACAGATGGCATGTGGTCACTTTGTGCTTCCTCCTCTTCAAATTGGGAGAAGTGCTCATAAGTGCTGCAGTTTGTCTGAGGCCATTGACGTTTGGGCTATTGTGCCTGTTGGCTCAGAGCAGCAACCTGTTTCCTTCTACAAACCGGCAATGATCGTGTTGAAAGAGACTTCTTTGGTGCCATTCCTATTAATGAAATAATGTGTGAGTGGGTGAAATAGCATAGGAATCACATTGAGAGAATGAATGAAGCAAGTATCTTTTGCGATGTGTTATGTGATCGCATAACAACTATGTGAACCGCAAAGCCATCGTAAATTTACAACACCCAGAAGAGAAAACAAAAAAAGGACCACATACTATGTTATGCGACCGCAAAGTAGTCGCATTTCCGCTCAATAGATGGGCAATTTGTCTTACTCTATTTGCGGCAACTATGTAGTCTGCAAAACTATGTTTGCGATTGCAAACCCCATAGCAGAACCATTTTTGATCAGACCACCTAGGGTTCCACTTGCGACGACTTTGCGGACAACAAACCAATTATGCAGGCCGCAAAGATCGTCTTCTTGAGTTTAAACATGCTCACCTCACTCACATGAAGTTCCTAACACTCAATTTTGAGAATTTTCCCACAAACTACCCACCCAGGTCCCCATATCAAAAGTTTGAGAGGAATAGGGAGGAAATGAGTTCAAGCAATTCCTAATCATGCAACACAACCACGAGAAAAACCTACTCTCAACCAATTTCCCCGCCCTAATATGAATATTAATCAAAGGGAAATGGGGAATCAGGGGAAACGACCATGGGAACTTAGTAATAAGGAAGAGTCATACAACACAATCATGCGAAAGAGGGAAGAGAATCATACCAGATGTCTTAGAAAGATAATGTGAACGAGGTGAGTCATTTATGCAAGTATGATCCTCTTTGTGTGATTGTGTGTTTTTGGTCTTTTCTCTTTTCTTTTCCTTGCTTTTTTTTTTTGATTTTGATCGTGTTATACAATGCTTTTGTGTGAGCAAGAGTGAGAGTGCGACTATTATGCGAAAGGTTTTATACCTGTGCATTTTGCGGCGGGCAAGTGAATTGCATAACACATTATACGGTCACATATGTTTTATGCGCTGGTTAATGACTGGGTCGCTCAACCTTACTTTGCGACGCGTTCTGCGGTCGAATAGTTGTTATGCGGGACGCATAAGTTAAAATCTTATCGCATTTTTGAGGACCCAATTTGCCATTTTTTCTGACTGTGTCTGTGATGACTATGATGTTCGCAAAGTCATTATGCGGCCGCATAGTTGCCGCAAACTATGGAACCTTCTTTCCTTCATTTACCTCAGTACCTGCACCCCGTTCATGGTATTTTACACTACCTGCATTATAACACACACGTAAACTTGCTCAATAATAACAACTAAACCTACATAAATAATAATAATAATAAATTTACAAAAGGTTGTTACCACACATGGGTTGCCTCCCAAGAAGCGCTTGATTTAACGTCGCTGCACGATGATGTTGACCCTGTTTGGGCTACTCAGTGGTGGGGGCTGGTATTGGACTATCCTTTAAAGAAAATTGTTCTATCAAATGCCTTTCTCCTGTGGTACCGAGGTAATGCTTGACTCGTTGACCATTCACTTTGAAAGTTTGAGTTCCATCCTCCGACTCCAATTTAATAACACCATAGGGGGATATACTCACAACTTTGAATGGGCCAGACCATTTCAATTTGAGTTTTCCCGGAAACAAATTGAGTCTTGAGTTGAAGAGTAAGACCAAGTCACCGGATTTGAATTCCCTCTTCAAGATCTTCTTGTCATGGAAAAACTTCATTCTCTCCTTATACATGATTGTACTCTCATAGGCATGGAGACAAAATTCTTCCATCTCATTGAGTTGTGTCATTCTCAGGTTAGCAACTTTGGCCCTGTAAGGATTCAGCTTCTTCAATGCCCACATGGCTTGTGTTCAAGCTTCACTAGCAAGTGACACACCTTACCAAAAACCAACTGGTACAATGAGGTGCCAATGGGAGTATAAAATGCCGTGCGATATGCCCACAATGCATTGTCTAGCTTCCTTGACCAGTCAATCCTATTTGCATTGACAGTTTTTACTAGGATGTTTTTGATCGCCCTGTTGGAGACTTCAACCTAACCACTCGACTGAGGATGATAAGGTGTGGCCACCTTGTGCTTTATGCCATACTTTTCGAGCAACCCAATGAAAGCCTTGTTGCAAAAGTGAGAACCACCATCACTAAGGATGGACCTGAGGGTACCAAACCACGTGAATATGTTCTTCTTCAAGAATGCGGTCACACTCCTTGCTTCATTGTTAGGCAAGGAGATTGCCTAGACCCATTTGGAGACGTAGTCTACAGCCACCAATATATATGTCATGCCATAAGAGCTCACGAAGGGGCCCATGAAGTCTATCCCCCACATATCAAAGATCTCGACCTCCATTACAAAATTCATAGGCATCTCATGTCCTTTAGATATTGACCCTTGCCTTTGACATTGATCGCATGCCTTGAACATTTGATTTGCGTCTTAGTAGATCGATGGCCAATAGTAGCCACATTCAAGCACTTTTTCCGCCATCCAGTTTCTTCCATAATGACCCCAAACCGGGGAGTCATGGCATGCCTTGAGAATTGACATTACCTCATCTTCCCGAACTGTGACAACCTAACCAGTCGTCTCATGAGTTACCGCCCCATTTCCCCCATTTCAGCTTATTTACGCTTTGTTATCCGTGTTTTATGGGATCGAGATGATTAGTTCGAGTTCAGAGAGGATTTGGTAAGAAATGAGACACTTAGTCTCTTTTAAGAAGGCTTAAGTTGGAAAAGTCAACCGGATGTTGACTTATGTGTTAGAGGGTTCGGATGTGAGTTCCGATGGATCGGTTATCTTCGGGAGGTGATTTTTGACTTAGGAGAGTGATCGGAAGTGGTTTTGGAGGTACGATGTAGAATTAGGCTTGAATTGGCGAAGTTAGTATTTTGGCGAATTCCGGTTGATAGGTGAGATTTTGATCCGAG